AAGGGTTAATCGTTAAACTTTAGAGATTATTTTAATTTTTAAGATTAAATGCTCAATCTTAAACCTAAATTAATCTCTGACTCTTGTTACATATGTTCCCTTGAAACGCTCGAAAACATCGAATCCTTTCAACATTTCGGTCTCGACATTCTCCATTATAATAAGACTCATATTTTCCCCAGCCAGTATTCATTTCTCACTCTTTCACTTGCACTCGCACCCATGCACGCTCGAAATGATTATCTAGAGTTTCCTCCTCAACGAGTCGATTCGAAGTACTTCCTCTTCGGCATTTTATTGCGGCTTCGAGACTCATCCCCGACAATACTTTTTCGCCCGAAGGAAAAACGATTTCGCCTTCTTTTCGATTTTCTCTCTCTCGCTCTCTTTCTCTCTCTCTCTCTCTCTCTCTCGCTCTCTTCCACGTTTCCTTTATACAAAGAATACACCGTTGCGACTATACGAAACTAGAACGGTATCATTTGTCTACACGTGAATAATTCCATGAGTCGTGTGGTTGTAAACGCTATCGCAAACACAAGAGTGAGTCTTGTTTCCATTTCCGTGTCCCGATCAATGGTATTTGAGCAATGTACTGCCATCGAATCGATCGTTTGAGAAATACGCATTGTCTCCTTTCTCGAAAGCGGGAACGAAAGTCGGATTAGAGTAATCATATTCGAATGATCGAAACGAAACCGAGGGAAAACAAAGTATTTCTCGAGCAATCGGTCCAATCAATATTATTTTTTTTTCTTTGTTAACGTGCTAGACTTACTCTTTACGAATTAGAAATCGTAAATATCCTCCTATTGGTCTTTTACGCTACTTAATCGTTCACTACGTGGCGGTTAACAGTGTTATTGCTGCTAAGAGTTCACTTAACAGGACCTTGCTGTCACGCTAAGATTACTTCATCGGTAGACAATAAATTCTGCTCGTCGATCTGCGATTGTTCATCCTTGTCAACGCCGAGGAAAACGCAAGCGTTCGAATTTTTACTTCGAGGAAAAAAGCTTCCACTAACGATCGTAGTACTCAAGACCTCTATCGCATCGCCTCGAGTAATTAACCAGCAATCCGTCGAATTTAAACCGATACTCCAAGCTCGAACGTTCGTCCACGTCTCCCCGCGATGTATCGATTCAAAGTTCAACGGATCCTCGTTAATCCTTTCGTCACGGGGTTAATCCTCTATCGAAGGTTCGTAGAATGGTGCTGCGAGTCGTCGAAGGCGCCTTGGTTTCATTTATATATAATATATGTATATAATATATATGTATAGTCGTTAACAATGTTAATTACAGGTACCTAAAAATTTCTCGCACGCGTTCCCCACGCCGGAAAAAAGTAAGAAAAGTCGAAATGTTCGTACAAGCTAGGACAGTCTACGCTAGTTTCCGGTACCATCTAACCTTATCACGCTCAACTTATGAATATCGTGAAGTTACGCAGTCGAAATGGCGAAACGTCGTTACGGGTAAACGAGAAAGAAGAAAAGAAAGGAAAGAAAATGGAGAGAAATGAACAAAGACGCTTGCGAGAATAGTCTCTTCGTCGAGTAAACGCTAGGGAAATCGGTGTAATATTTGATGTATTATCTTGATGCGAGCACGACGTTACGTATTTACAGTGTCTGCGATAATAATAATTGATCCGATATTATTTCCCGATGTCGCACTGGCGCCGTCCGCCATCTTCCTTTCGTCATCGAGTTCGCAAGCTTCTCCTGATCTCTCTTCGTTTAATCATGGCCTCGCGCGTTCGTAGATTTCGAGTAGACCACAGGACAATGTCGCGAGAGCGATTGGCAAATCAGATGAAATCTCGTTAGAACTTGCTCGCAGTCTAATTTAAGTTACATCCCAAAGAGTTCCCTTTTCTAGATATGTAGAAGTACTTCCTACGTGTCCACCATTCCCGATATCTCGATATTTTACGTTTTTACCGACTAAGAGATCTATCGCTATTTCTCGGCTACTATATCGAAAAGGGATTTCGGCAATTACAATTTCTCGTGTCGTAATGGTTCAGTACAAAGTGGCTTGGCAGTGTTTTAATATCGGTGAGCGTGGTAAATAGACCTGCCAATTTGTCCGGGTGTCGTTCTGATTAAGGCAATGATCGAATATTCGAGTTCCACAGACAGGTTATGTCTATTAGGCTACGAGTGATTTTCTTGAACAGATACATACGTGTATCTAGAGATACGTGCGAATAAATAATACATAAAAAGGTACTTTCAAAATTCGTTATCGAATTTGTTTCATATTTCACGAAGACATTTAATACGATTTTAAATTTAATATCACGAGGGAACGGTGATTATTTAAAACAGAGCGTGCAAATTTAAATAACGCAATTAAATATGTATATTATATGTACTTTAGCGACGAGCAATATAATTTCGATATAATTTCACTGTTAATTTCAGTCAACTCGAAGTCTTGTTTGAACATAACGAAATCATGATGGGACAATGATTAGTTCATGCACGTTTCCGATAAATCAAGAGTGCACCGCGGGAACGTAAATTTAAACAATGCAAATGAACACGTAAGTACGTATAACGTGTACCCAAATAATACATACTTAATATAATTTATAATCGCCTTATTCGATTGGTCACAAGTCACGAAATATAATAATACCACGATAAAAGTAATTATTTTATATAGGATTCCAATAAATCAAGAGTAAATACGCGTAAATGTAAATTTAAATAACACAAACAAGCATTACGCGTACACCTCGATGAAATAATAATTTTAATTAATTCAAAGTCTTCTGTAAGTCTAAGAATAATACCCTGATGGAGCAGTGATGGTTCCATAATCGTTTCCAATAAATCACTGGTGTTTATGCATTCGTTTCAACTGAGATGAAAGTAAATCCGCATATATATATCGACAACGTGTCGAATAACAGGAATATCGATATTAATTCGACGATTGAGACATAAACAATTAAATCTGCAATTATTTACACGAGTCGTCGTTTTATAGGTTAACAGATTATTAGTCGATTATTTTATATAATCTGTATTCGCACTTGGATATTCGAGCATTGCCTATACCCGGACATTCGCAGTCCTAACAAGGTGTTTCGCTTACAAATGAAGAAGCAGTGGCGTGAAATAATTGCGTCATGCATTATAATAGAAGCCTCGTTATAATAAACGCTATAAGAACAATTTCAAGAATGTCAGTCGAAGGTTGGAAACATTCAATAAGTGACGAATAAGTCTTTCGTTTTAATGGTCTCAGTGGCGAGCTCTATACGACAAAATTCTGCCATTGTAAATATAGAAATTCTAAAAAGCCTTGAAATAATCGAATATACGCGAACGTTGCTTTCCATCATCCGGTTTCGAGTATCTAATTAAACGTTTACAAAAGAGTTTCCAAGTCGATCTTCCTAGTCCTCTTTTTTTGCTTTTTCTTCATTTTTCTTTTCGTTAATTCCTTGGTCTTAAGCGCACTTGTTAAGTCGACACTATTCTGGAGCAAGCATTCAAATGATCGTCTGCGTTTCTTAAGGGTACGATCTCGATACGATTTATAAATATTTATGTATATATATATATATGTATATATATAAAAAAAAGAAGTGAAGATATTTTCTCTTCGGGGATACCTAGTAGTACCTGGGAAACTCGACTAATTTTTATAGCGTAGTTAACCTCGAATTATTTTAATTGTTCCTCTATGTCGATAACAACTCATGCAGTTACAAATTACGAAACAAAATCTGTCTGATCCTCTGATCGTTCGATTGACATTTGAACGCGTGCCACCTAGCATCCGTCGCTTCGGATTTTACGTAATCACTCCAAGGTAGAAGTATCGAAAAAACGTTTGTCGCAATTCTTTGTCACAATATCGGCTGAATATTCTCCTTCTTCGCGAATACTCCCGAAATAAATTCTCTCTAGCAAGCATTTTTGGCCGCCTCGATTGTCCGCATCGTTACAAGTTATTAAATCAGGAACGCTTTTTCTTACGCTTACAAATATCCATTCGTGAGTTTCTTCAGAACGAGTTCGCATCCCGCTGATAAATTTCCGCTAATTACGCTGTGTTTACGTTTCCATCGATTTTACATGTTCGCTCTCGACAATTCGTCGATCTTCTCTAAGCTCTTTAGATGAGAATGCAATTAATTTTGCAACTTACACTCGAAAATAACGAAAATAAGCAATAATTATCTCTTTAATTTGTTCCCAAAGAAGTGTCAGGAATTGGAACTTCTTGGACATGCATGAAAAAGCTGTGTGTGTCTCTTACGAATGCAATTGATACAAATAACTGAACGAAAATCTGTTGACACGTCAACTGTCAATTTCCAGTATATTAATTAAAATCTCAAATTGAACAGTGTGTTTTTCATCTGACTTGAACATTCGTTAAATTTTTTAATCGGCGATGTTGGTTCTATTCTAATCACCCTAATTCATTGACCACTAGGCATCTACCTAGAAAATGAGCTCGAAAATGACAGTAGACGCGTTAATTTCTCCATGAACGCTTGAAAACATGGACGGACGTATCCAGCTATTGAAATAGCAGCAAATCAACGTTTACACCTTCTCTAGATATGTTTATCACGCGAATCTCAGCGACATGGACAGCGAGGTATCTTCTAAAAATTTCGGAAGGCAAATAAACGCAGTGGCGTAGCAGTGGAGGTTGGAAGATTCGGAGGGGGAAGAGGAAAGGAAGAGACGAGGAATTGAACTTGTTCTGAAGATGATCGTTCAGCATACGGTCCCTGCCTCATCGGTTTTCACAGATGGATCGTACGCTGTCGCTCAATTTTTCATTTTTCATAAGGCGCGATCGAGCTTCCCGGAAAACTCGGAAAGATGTTATCAGGGAAAAGCGATCTTTCAGCTGATCCAGTCCGCACGTTTACAGGGTCATGTAGTTCCATGAGACGTGTCGAATCTTCGGCGATCGAATAAATTCGAGGAATCCTGCTGCGAATGTCCTTAAAGTGAATCAAGACGCTCCGTAGACGCAGGCTGAGTGGTCAGGTGGGCTGATCTTCTCTACTGGCAAAACTGCCGCTCTGTGCCATTCGTCGCGCACCTGAAACCGTATTTTTCTTTTTATCCACGAAATCGATACGGATCATGCGGATAGATATTAACCACTTGCGCTCGAAACACGTGCCACGCACGTCGAGATGCTTTCGGGCCAAAATCGCCAGCGACGTGTACACCACGTCGATAGGCAATTATCGCAGAAATAAAAATGACGTGGGCTGCACGTCGGTTAACAATCAGAACGTTCGTTTCTCGAGCTACAGTTATCGATATCTTGGAAATATTTCAGAATCGATACAGTATCTCAATGTGACACCTTACCGTGCGTTATACTGTACCCCAATCGTGAGTTTATTGGTAGCGCAAGTGGTTAACGCGATTCGAATGTGTAGGCAATCATGGAGGAAGTGGTCTAACTGAATTTATCATTTATTTTGGATGCATTTATGATTTGAAAATGTCCAATTATTTTTTTAAAATAGCAGAATATTGAGTAAGGTCGTGATTTATTAGAGGAATTTTTAAACATTTGCAGTCTGAGCAATTTTTAATATGATCTACCAGCAACTACGAGTCATTTTAGCTTTCCTGTTAGCTTTTGTAGTACAATGTTTACCAAGCAAGTAGCATTTCATTTTCATCAGTTCTTCTGCCAAAGGTATACTGGTATAATATTTATAAGTAAATATACGGTAACCCTGTGTTTTGGGAATTTTATCTAATAATATTTCATATAAATTCAGCGGAATTCTAGTGCTCCAGTAGTGGCAACGGAGTTACAGGCTATTCTTACAATGTCGCCATAATGGCGACAACAGAGTGCAAAGGGTTAATATCTTGTAATGAAACATATGTGTACGGTTTAAGTCATTTTTCTGATTTTTGGTATAATTGAAAGTTTGCTATAGTAAATAAATTATTTCTTAATTCCTCATCATAATTACATTGCGATAATGTGAAATAAATTTCAAGGGGCAATAGAATACCTTGCAATGAAATATATGTGCACGGTTTAGGTCATTTTTCTGATCTTTGGTATAATTGAAAGTTTGCTATAGTAAATAAATTATTTCTTAATTCCTCATCATAATTACATTGCGATAATGTGAAATAAATTTCAAGGGGTAATAGAATACCTTGCAATGAAATATATGTGCACGGTTTAGGTCATTTTTCTGATTTTTGGTATAATTGAAAGTTTGCTATAGTAAATAAATTATTTCTTAATTCCTCATCATAATTACATTGCGATAATGTGAAATAAATTTCAAGAAGTAATAGAAAATTGTAGTGGAAAAACTAAATTTTTTACAGTATAATACAAACAATACAAAATTCTCTCTTATCACTATACCAAACAATACTTTCACCTTACTTTTCATCTTGAAAAGACTGAGAGTGTAACAGCAAAAGTGTTAATCGTTACAAATGTCGGATGAATGTACGAACAGCTTACCTGCTCGACTTTAGCGAATACCCTCAGCAAATTGAGGCCAGCTAACTTCTTAATGTCGTCCTCCGTCCATGTTGGATCCTCGAGCAGGGTGGCCAACAATTGCGGATACCTCGAAACATCCTCCAAGCCGGTAGTGGTACTGAAAAGCGCATCGATAATCGCGTTGTCGCTTTATTTCATTCGTAATGATCTCCGTCATTCAGAGAATAGAAGCGCGACGATAAAATGAAATTTGTCCCGGCAGTCCCGTATCAATGGAAGCAATTTTACGATTTACGCGTCCCGCCTAAGTGTTCATTGTGTGCGCCGTGAATCACTCGCGCTGACTATCTGCACGTAGATACAACAGTAATTGCTTCATTGAGCCGAGTATCGATAATGATTATTCTCTGAATGCGCGTTGTTCCGAGGATACTCGAAAGATAATTACAAATTTATCCCGTCGAAGCCAGCTCCTATTCCAACGTGATCGATCCCAGCCACCTTTCGAATGTGATTGATGTGTGCTGAAACAGCATGGTCTCTTAATAAACTCGTTTGTGCAGTGGCGTTTAAAATGTTGATTTTATTATCCCAAGCTTGCAGGGTCATCACGGTACACGCTGCGAATAAAACCTCGCTGCTGCCTGATTGTTAATTAGATCCCGGTCAGCGTGTTAATCAGATTCGCGTTAATTCACGCGGACGCGATCGAACAGAAGAAACGAATCATTGTTCCACACGAACACAAACGCGTTTCACTGACACGCGCATGTTATTCCGCTGTACTTATTCACTCGTGAAGTTTGTGCCGATAAAAACGGAGAAGAAAATTCGGGAGAAAGGAAGATCTGCGTTGTTTCTGACGTAGTACGACGCGAGATAGGGTGAAGCGGTGTACTATGCGTGGCTGAAAAGAAGTCATCTCGTTCGGTTGCGGGTCAACAGGGGTATTCCACTAGTAATACCCACTCTTCTACGACACTCCCAAAACTACTACCTCCAAGTTCGGTAACGTGATACGTTAACATAGACGTAAGATATCCGCAAAATTCTTACTCTCGAATAATAGAAGACGCAATTGAAGAACTAGGATTGGAAATACAAAGCAGTGAGTCAGATAAGGAATCAGATGATAATAGCTCGGAAGATTTATAAGGTAAAGGAGTACAAAAGTAATAATAATTAACATCATTTATGAAAATTGATTTAAAATTTAAGATGTATCTTTTATGATAAATTAATTATGTAATTGCATCGTACTAGATAACCGTTTAAAAAATCATACGATGCAATATAAATATAAAAAATATGTGTACAGTACAGCACGTTTGCTGCATAATGCAATGAAAAGTTAATCGAGATGCTAATTAGTAATTAGTAATTGCAAATAATCACGTGTTCATCGGAAGAATCTGAAGTTAATGTTTTTGGGATGAGTCTACGCTCTTGCATCTATTTGTTGCGTCTGTCTCGCTTTGTCTCGTTGCTTCCTTCGCTTTCTTTGTCACATGGTGTTTCATGACCGAGCTAATAGGAAGGGATCAGTTCTGCCAATAAGGGAAGCGCTATACTCTACTTCTGCCATGATGTTAGAATGGTTGGGTTAGTGGAGATTCGGTCCTACAAGTTTCTCAGATGACTTCTTTTCAGCCACGCATAGTAGTTGCGAGCACCCGAGCGAAATCTCGAGTGAAACGAATATCGATTGTTAATTATCTATAAATGAAGCGTCATCGATAAAACTTGGGAGTAGAATATCTCGTAATAAAGAAAGAAAATCTTCGATTCGGGGTAATTATAGGATTCAAGTGTTATGTAGCTTTTCTAACAATTGATTATGTTTTTGGTATGAAGAAAATTGCGTATGAATGATATTCTACGTACCAATAACGTCTTTTATTGTGGCTGTACTGTTGCACGTTATGAAGTATGTATAAAACGGAACCATAGCCACGCCGCCATTTTTAGCCTGGAAACAAATGCGTTTAACCTCAGAGACGTAAGCATTAGGCTGCACAGAGTACTGTTCGTGCAAAGAAAAGCGATTGTTAAATTGTGTCGAGTCGAATAAAGCTGCTCTTTCATTGCCCGCGAACGAGGCCATTGAATTTGTGCGTCCATTGTGTTTTCGAAAAATTCTTGTCGTTGCTGCGTTACACAGGGTATCTTCAAAATCATGGCACAGTCAGCTGGTTAATGTCTCTGCATGACAAAGTAAGCCGAACATGAAGAATAACTATTTTTCGTTTAAGACTTCGTTCTTGAGAAAAATAAATTTGAAAATCCCGCGCAATTATGCGAGTCTCAAAATCGGTTTCAAGATTATATCATTAAGTACACTTGAACGAATCTTGACATCTGTTACACGGTACAGTGAAGAAAAATATACACCCATAAAATAATTTTGTTCTCAGTATTTTTGGTCTTGCAATGTCATTAAAATTGCATGCAAAATATTTCTCGTGTCTGTACACTTGAGGGAGATATTTCGGGGGATACCTTCGGATAAGACACCCTGTATATTCAGCATCACGACTCGAGAAGTTATTATCATGTTCAACAGAGTGATAGTTCCAGCTGCAGACCATTCGAATAACAAATTTACGTGGAAAATTTATATTCTGTCAGGGGATCTCGCGAGTTTGCGATTTATGGCTCTCCTTTCCACCGGTATTAAAATATTTCCACGAAATGATTTGTATATCGAATATCAGCCGAAGAATGCGCGTCCTCGTGAAAAAATTCACGATCCCCGGCGAAACGCATTTTTTACTCTACACTCGATATCTCGCAATGCATCATCGCGAGACGTTACTTTCTAATCGTATTTTCTCATTTGCATTTCGAGTATTAAAATTAATTCCCAGTAGCGTATACACAAAAGCACGGTATATCAAGGATGTCTGTAATTTTCTCCGATGGTTTCGAAAATGGAACCAATAAGCCGATACAAATGACTCGTTTCGAACTTTTCTCGTCGAACAGATTTTCGGAAAATTAAATGACACCGGGTAAACAAACGGATTCGCGGTGCCGGTCTCGATACCCAGAGCTATAGATTTTAATAAAAGACACAAAGGCCGTATCGGAGTGTCCTCGGGGTCCATAAGTCGCTTTCAAAAAGGCTATTCAAAGCAACAGTTCGCATCGATCTCTCGGCCCGCGATTTTCTCGTTTAATCCGCGATCCGAGCGTTCTACGCCATTGGGCGATATTAAAAAAGTTGCGATTCGAGACGGCATACTTTCCGAAATGTATATGCCACTGGGAAACGCACATTGAAATTCGATGAGTCCGGTTGTTCGAACCCGCCGCGCATCCGTTGCACGCCATATTGATTTTGTCCAAGGTCCATTTCCAAAAGACAAGAGGAAACGGCCACGATGCCGTCGCTGTCATCTGTTTCCACTCGCTTTTATGTTTATACCCTTCTGACGCTGGCAAAGGGGACATTCGAGATTCTTGCCTCTTCTTTTAGTATTCTGTGTCACGATGGCCAGCAGGTCGGTACTCGCAGTGGTCACAGATGCACTCCTGTATCTCTGGCTTCTGATCGATTTTTCTTATTTTGTAACAAACACGAAAGCTTCTCTCTTTTTTAATCTATTTATTCCTTCCAATTTGTCTTTGGAGACAATTGGGGAATTTTAATATCCCTAGATATTATTTTTGCGAATGATACCGTTAAGATACCATCGAGAACGACTTTAGCCAGTGCTTTTAGGTTAGGTTACTACATGGCAGCAAGTCCAATGGATTATCTGCAGTCTTTTAGTGGTACAGGGTTCGTAGAGTTTAGAACTAATTCATTTGGATGATTTGCAGTTTTCTTCTTGTAACGTGAAACGAAATTGCGAATTTTTTCGTCTAGGGACACACTGGACTTCTAAATCCTAGGGAATATCGTTGTCCCCGATTTTCAGTATAAATACAAAATTGCTATCGACGAGAACGTGTGTCTTATTAATTAAATTCCCAAATAATGTGAATTTTGTTGTAAAATAATACTTCACTATAGAAGAAAGTATAATTCGTGAAATTTTTACTAGAATCTAGTTTATTTTGGCCTTCTAGTGACAAAATGGTCTTCTAAATCACAGGGAATATCATTGTTCCCGATTTTTAACATAAATAGAAAATTGCTATTAACGAGAACGTGTGTGATATTAATTAAATTCCCAAATAATGTGAATTTTGCTGTAAAATAATGCTTCACTATAGAAGAAAATATAATTCGCGAAATTTTTACTAGAATCTAGTTTATTTTGGTTTTCGGATTTGCTCGATATAATGTAACCTCGATATTTTGATTAACATAGGTTTTACCATAAAATCATGGTTCGGTACTGATTTTAGAAATTTTTTTAATAGTCTAGGGACTATCTAGATGGCGACACTGTTCTCTAATAAAAATGGAGTATCGATAGACTGTTGATGTTCCAATTTATATTACGAGATAATCGATGTAGCGGGGAATTTTGGGTAATGCAATACCAGAGAAAATAGATGCGAATTACATTGATTATAATTTAAAATAAATATTAGTAGCATTTAGAATTAAACTTTTCACAGCAAATGCACATTTTTGCAGGAAATAGATAAAGTTACGAGATCTGGATAGAAATCTGTTCCGTCACGAAAGAACTCTAAAAATATAGCTTTTATCTTGCAAAATTTGCATAAGTACATATTTTGCGTACAAATGCATAATTAGTAAGAAACGTGGAGAACATAATTGTGAAGGAAAAATGAACATAAAGTTTAAAATATATTCGTGTATTTCATGTCTCTCAGACCAGCTCCAACTTTCACGTTCAGGTTACAAAATTCTAATAAGCAATTAACGTTTATATGTTATCCAAAATTAGTAACAATTTCGAAGAAACGAATGTCAAAAGTTCACCAAAAATTTCGCCACAAAATTTCGTATTAATGCTCAATTCTTCTTCTCTAACATTGAATGGAATATTAAAAATAAAATTCGATATACTGTAGATTAAATAGGATTTTCAATTTTTTAATAGTTAATTTATATTATAAATCGCAGTACAACGCGCTATCACGAGAAAACGAGAGGACTGGCCGAGTTATTGGTCGCAAAGTTATCCTATACCTGTATGCCCGGGTTTTCAAGCGCTCGCCAATAAAATTCGAAGAAATCCTAAAGTGACTCCGTGGGAATGCAATTTCACTTCCCCTGAACGGTATGCAACGCGTTGAAATTTTAATATCGAGGCCGGCTATAAATCATATTTTCTCACTCGCCAGGATTTCCCTGCGATTGATTCGGGAATCCCATGAAACATTTAATGTCGAACTGTGTCCGGTAGTCATCGGACATGTCTGCGATACGAAATTTTTCAAACCTTTAGCGTTCCCAATTTTCCACAACGGATTGCGCAATGGGAAACATTGTTTTCCACTCCAGTTAATAGCCTACGAAGTTTTTATCCAGGTTGTTCGTCGGTGATTTCGTCGTACTTCTTTGCTTACGAGTTACACTCGTTACGAGTTAGACCCTGGACACACTGGTCCCATGGTACGCGAGTTTGATTTATGCTCGCAGATCGCGTTATTTGCACGCGTTGAGATCAACATCGAGATCATCGAGGTATCGGTAGATCTCTGCTTCCATTTACATGATGGCGACTGTAACGTAGGACGATCCATGTATCCTCATTAGAGGCAAGAGGCCAGCGGAGAACCGGTACGAAAGGAACACGCAGAGTCGTCCTAATTTCCTCCATTTATTTACTCTGACCTCTATATTCCCCGTGAACTTTATAATCCGGTCGAAGATAGCAACAGAACTGCTCTCGGGCGATTTATCAATGCCGAATTCCTGATAGAAATCTAAAGAACCCCAGAGAGCACGGGGCGATCTTTATCCATTTCGGTTAGCCCGAAATACTTGGAGCCAGGGCGCAATGGCTATCCAAGTTTTATCGGGTCCTTTCTATCTTTGCCTCCTATCGAAAATTACTGAATGTGCCAATCAGGTAAGAGACAATGGCCTGCTGTCTAGTCGATACCTGACCTGACTTAAACTATGAGGTAGCCAACGTTAATTGGGGCAGCAGTGTAGCACAGCTAATAACATGTTGCCAGACAGGCCATCGTTCGGCCTCTGATTGGTGTAACTCATCCCCTTGTTGCTTCGTCATGATCGAGCTAGTATTGATTGTGCCGGGGAAGCAAATAAGAAACACATCTTGTTTTCTTCTTATAAACAGACGATTCGCTAATAATTTAATCGGGATAATTGCACCACTGGCGAAAATTTGTCGACTCTTAATATTTGAGCCTGTGTTGGTATTGAAATTTCTGTAAGGGTTTTATTTTCTAGTTTTATTTTTATCTCACGTTTTATATTTTTGCGTTGTCATTGGATGTTACTTTTGTATTGCTAACCCTTTACGAGATGGACTATGGATATGTTATTAGCTCACCAAGATATTAGTCGAGAATAAGAATAAAATTGAAATTTTTAGTCAAAAATCTATTACAATTGCAATGGCTATAGCAATCCAATTGCTTCCAACCCTATTATTTATGCAAAAGAATGAGCTCACCACGATATTAGTCGAAAATGTCAATAAAATTGAAATTTACAGACAAAAACCTATTAGAATGCTAATGGCTATAGCAATCCAATAGGTTCTAACCCTATTATTTATGCAAAAGAATGGGCCTAACACGATATTAGTCGAAAATGTCAATAAAATTGAAATTTTCAGTCAAAAACCTATTAAAATTGCAATGGTTATAGCAATCCAATAGGTTCTCACCCTATTATTTATGCAAAAGAATGAGCTCACCACGATATTAGTCGAAAATGTGAATAAAATTGAAATTTTCAGTCAAAAAGCTATTACAATTGCAATGGCTATAGCAATCCAATTGGTTCCAACCTTATTATTTATGCAAAAGAATGAGCTCACCACGATATTAGTCGAAAATGTGAATAAA